TGCAATATATAGTTAACAATTGGAAACCCTGTAACAGATTAATCATTAATTAAGAATAAACAAGATGAGAGAAGTAATAATATGGATAAACAATTACAAAAGGATTAACAAGATGAAAGACTGTAATGTATTGATAACAATTTGAAATATTAGCAGATCAAACTAATAATTATAAGAGATTAACTATATGAGAGATAGGAATATATAGATAACAATTAATACATTAATTAGCAGGTGAAACCATAACTACAAGATGAAAGGGACTCTGGACATTTTCTCCCAAATCTTTGGGTTATGGTTTCTCCTGCTATATTAGTGTTTATTTGTTGCATGTATCTATATAGTAATAACATATTATATGGTATAATAGATACTGAGCGCCATGGAAAACGCATCACTTTTTTTTCCCAAATATTTTATTACTAGGTGGTTTTGTATGTATAATATTATGCAATACTATGAACTACTGTTTCCCACAATGCTCCCAAATGCAAAAAATATCGGCCTGTGTGCACAAAAAAAAATTGCACGAGACGCACATGAAAAACCCAATATTCACGTGCAGCATTGTGTGTGAGCCCTTTAAAAGCATGTTTTCAACTTAATGTGCAGTACATGAACTGTGAAACGTCAATCTCTCGTAATTTGTTGTTGGACGTGTGAAGGAATCGAGCTAGAGATGCCGAGACTTACTGAAAATCAACGGAATGAAGCCATGGGAATGTCCAGGGCTGGCATGTCTACACGTGCTATTGCCAGACACTTCAATTGTCATCAGTCCACTATTGTAAGGTTGGTGGAACGTGTTCGAGTTACTTGATCAACACGTGACAACGCGTTACAACCCAGGCTCAAGACCGCTACATCCAGGTCACTCATCTGCGTGACAGATTCTGCCCAGCGACTCGAACAGGTTCAGCAGTCGTCAGAAGACAAGGACCAGTAAGTGCCAACACCGTAAGACGTCGTCTAAGAGAAGTAGGACTCCGTGCACGACGACCTTATGTTGGAGCTATCCTCAGGGATCATCACCGTCAGCAGCGTTTGATATGGGCTCAAGGACACCAGACATGGAGAAGAGTAGACTGGTAAAGTGTGCTCTTCAGTGATGAGAGTCGCTTTCATCTTTATCACGCTGATGGCCGTCAACGTGTGTGGAGACGTCTTGGGGAACGTCTTGCAGACTGCTGCGTCTTCGAAACGAATCGATGGGATGGGGGAAATGTAATGGTGTGGGGAGGCTTAACATTTCATGACCGGACCGCCCTACACATTTGCAGGGGTCGCGTTAATGCTGTAGCCTACTGTGATGATGTCTTGCAACCAATTGTTGTTCCGATGTTTCGAGCGCACCCACATCTTCTGCACTTCCAACAGGATAATGCACGTCCGCATACCGCCCGTTTTAGAGAGATAGGAATATATAGATAACAGTTAATACATTAATTAACAGGTGAAACCATAACTACAAGATGAAAGGGACTCTGGACATTTTCTCCCAAATCTTTGGGAGGATTTATTTAATCCCTATTAATGTGAAGTTTTCAATTTCTTGCCTGTACGGTTAACCATTTTCATCTTGTAGTTATGGTTTCTCCTGCTATATTAGTGTTTATTTGTTGCATGTATCTATATAGTAATAACATATTATATGGTATAATATATACTGAGCGCCATGGAAAACGCATCACTTTTTTTTCCCAAATATTTTATTACTAGGTGGTTTTGTATGTATAATATTATGCAATACTATGGACTACTGTTTCCCACAATGCTCCCAAATGCAAAAAATATCGGCCCTTGTGCACAAAAAAAAGTTGCACAAGACACACATGAAAAACCCAATATTCACGTGCAGCATTGTGTGTGAGCCCTTTAAAAGCATGTTTTCAACTTAATGTGCAGTGCATGAACTGTGAAACGTCAATCTGTCGTAATTTGTTGTTGGACGTGTGAAGGAATCGAGCTAGAGATGCCGAGACTTACTGAAAATCAACGGAATGAAGCCATGGGAATGTCCAGGGCTGGCATGTCTACACGTGCTATTGCCAGACACTTCAATTGTCATCAGTCCACTATTGTAAGGTTGGTGGAACGTGTTCGAGTTACTTGATCAACACATGACTGTCAACATCCTGGTCCACAACGCAATACAACCCAGGCTCAAGACCGCAACATCCAGGTCACTCATCTGCGTGACAGATTCCGCCCAGCGACTCGAACAGGTTCAGCAGTCGTCAGAAGACAAGGACCAGTAAGTGCCAACACCGTAAGACGTTGTCTAAGAGAAGTAGGACTCCGTGCATGACGACCTTATGTTGGAGCTATCCTCAGGGATCATCACCGTCAGCAGCGTTTGATATGGGCTCAAGGACACCAGACATGGAGAAGAGTAGACTGGTAAAGTGTGCTCTTCAGTGATGAGAGTCGCTTTCATCTTTATCACGCTGATGGCCGTCAACGTGTGTGGAGACGTCTTGGGGAACGTCTTGCAGACTGCTGCGTCTTCGAAACAAATCAATGGGATGGGGGAAATGTAATGGTGTGGGGAGGCTTCACATTTCATCACCGGACCGCCCTACACATTTGCAGGGGTCGCGTTAATGCTGTAGCCTACCATGATGATGTCTTGCAACCAATTGTTGTTCCGATGTTTCTAGCGCACAGGATAATGCACGTCCGCATACCGCCCGTTTTAGTATGGACTACCTGGCTGCTAACAACATCAATGTCTTGGACTGGCCAGCCATGTCTCCGGACATGGCACCGATAGAACATGTATGGGATGAGATTGGTCGCTGTCTGTATCGGAGACCACAGATGCACACCATTGTTGCTTTAGAAGCTGCTCTTGTCCACGAATAGAACAATTTGCCCCAGGCCTTCTTTCAAACATTGGTAAATTCCATGCAACGTCGCTGCACAGCGTGCGTAAGAGCCCATGGAGAACACGCGCTACTGACATCTGTGTCGTACTTTTGGTTTTGACCCCTCTGACTTCTACGTTGATTACAGATTAAACATCCATAAGTCTACAAATGTGTTGTTATTGATGTGTTCCCATTTGAATATTGTTCACAATAAGAAGCAAAATAAATAAGATATGTTTACAGGATTATTTTGTTATACGAAAAACTAAGTGATGCGTTTTCCATGGCGCTCAGTATACAAGGCCAAACATTCTACGCATGACAAATCGTTCGTTTGGCACTTTAATTTATTTACTTTAAAAGAATAATTATTAAAGATTGAAATGCAAAAAATCATAAATTGAACTGCCAAACATGTGCTACCTGACGGGATAACGAGTCGTTTGGCAGTTAATTTTATTACCTTTTGAAAACATCATTCATTCAATAAAAACAATTCATAAAATTAAACGAAGACCGCCACAGCATACCCATCCACATTATGGCTATCCAGAGAGGGAGAGAGAGTTTCCACAATTTATCAACTTGGTATGCTTGCAAGATAAAAAATGAAGGTTGATATAGTTCTTTGAATTCATATTTTGTTTTCTTACACAATAGTAAAACGATACCAAATCCACATTACAAAATTTTAGTTTCCTGTGAGCTGTAATCAATTTTGCAACTCTTTCACAAAAATCTTTTTAAATCAGTCACCTTGACACAGACAATTATTCTTGAAATGGTCGGGTTGACGTTTGAATTATATGGGTTGTTTTTTGGGGTTTTTTTTTAACAGGAATCAGTTTGTAATATGTTGCAAATCTGAAGATACCAATAATAATGTATATAGATATTCACACGATTGTTCAGTGATCAGAATTTTAGCTTGTGTGTATGTTTATGAAATTCATTATTTCTGTTATCTGCTATCATATTATCTGTTTCAATAAAATTAGTGAAAACAGATTTGTGTTGATCTTTTTTTAATCATTAGTTGTGGTTCCAAATTTATTCCATACAGTTATAAATATAAATTGTAAATTAAATAACACTACACATTACGGCGGTAATCAAAATCGCCGACAAATACTCCTATTGTTGACTGCCATCCATTATTGTTTAAAAACATTTCCCGATTCGAGAATATTAGTAAATAATTAATTAATAATTTTTTCAGAATGTAGCGACGATACTCACTAACAATACTCACCAGAAATTTATATAGTTAACGATTTCACGCTCTACTGGCGTCGGGTCCAGTTACTGACGCACATCAAAGATAACTGGCGGTTTCACTCTGATAGTGACCCAGAGCTCAATTAGTGACGGTTTCTTAATTAGTCACGCTTTTTTCAATTTCCTCCGCACGCGACTGAATTATGTTCGGCTTAACTCACGTTTGTTTAATTCCTCGCGTTATTTTTACATACTTACACAAATAAGGAATACTAACCAATTAACTTAAATACTCACCTTATGATTATTACTGACCATTTATAGGAATACTGACGAACGTTACAAGTACTGACAGGTTTAAGCGACTACTGACAACACATATATTTCTCACGAATTTCCATGAATAGTAACCACAATGAACCCTTTCTACTTCATATATAGATATTCTAACACATAGGCCAGTTAGTCAATACTTAGAGATAGGTTCTACACACTATGCATGTTAGCGTGAGATTCTCTCACATAATTTTCACTTGCTGCCACTTGTCACCATATGTCAGTGAAAAAATAATATGAGACTGGCGGGATCACAACACGTGAAGCCTGCTGCTTCGACCTGCCAGTAGCTTTGACTGACTAAATTCTTAACAGTCAAAAAATGTAGAATACACGAAAAATTTGTTACAAGACATCAAATTTGTACCAAATAATGAAACTTAAACATAACACCCAACTATTATCAACAGCAATCGAGATTAGTAATAGTTATACCTCATTACAGTAAATATTTTTGGAATTTTGAATATGATTCACCATATCTTGATGTCCAATTGGTCGGATGTTTGAAAAATCACTTAGGACATGTCCAGAATATACGAGCGATGTATATACTTGAATTTTGATGTTTTCTAGAATACAGATGATGATCATATTGATAAACTAGAAGTAGTAAAAGCTATCAATGCCATGACAGATGTAGCAAAAGCTATTAATGAATATAAACGCAGAAAAGATTTAGGTAAGTAAACCATATTTTGAATTTATGATTTTTATCCTTGTTGGATTAGACAGTCTCTATCATCCAGAAAAATATTCTACGAATTAGTCTGGATGCGTTGTCAACATTTGAGAATAATAGATCATCAGCTACATTATCCGGTCTTTTACATTATCATAGACAAAGTCTAATGGAGGTAACTAGTCCTAAAACAAGATGTTGACGCCCATGACATTAATTTAAGAATGCCATTTCAAAAAATCCATTTGATTGCATTGCCAGTTCAATATCAATTATCAATTTTTTTTTTATTGTAAAATTTCTCTCTTCATGGGCCATATATATGTTTTTTAAATTAATTCTAATTTGTCGTCATGATTCATGTTTGTTTATATTATATTAATGGTGGAGCAATTACTCATTGTTAAGACAAAAATCAAAAACCTCCATTTTCACTTTTGACAGTGTATCTCATTTTGAATGAAATGGGGTCGTCAGATAAGCCGCTCATATGAACTGTTTTTTATGTTCATGTGTAGGCAATTGGCCTGTTATTAACATACACTGGTTACCTCTAATAAAAACATCAGTGCATTTCTGCAGTTTTGTAATGTTTCTGAATATCCGCTACTTTTTTTGAAGAGTATATAACAATATTGTTGCTGTAAGGGGTACCCTGAAAATCCACCAACTTATAACAACTAAATTTGGCGAAATGTTGTTCAGGGATGTTAGTTGTTTCTGTCAAGGTGTTCACTGTGACTGTTATCTACCTAGCAGTATACAGATATTGAAATCTCTGGATGAAATTGAGACTAATGACAGTCCATCAAAAGATGACATCAACTCTGATACCAATAAAGACGACATTGTTGTTTTACCAGAACTAGTTGAACAGCTCTGTGTCGTGGAATATGAGGGAAAATTTTATGCGGGAAAATTTGAAGATGTTTACGAAGATGACGTAGAAGTTACGGTCATGCATAATGCAGGAACTAATAAATATTACTGGCCGTCCATGCATGACTGGTTGTGGTATGCAGGGCTGTCGGTAATTTTTCACGGTTGATTAGCAGCACTGCTAATCAAAAAGTCCAATTTTGCCAAATTTGATTAGCAAATTTAAAAATTGATTAGCAGTTTTTCAGTTTCAACATAAAACACCTAAATAACAAGATATTACTTTAGTTCATAACAAATATGATTAGATTCCATTCTTACTAATCTTAGATTTTTTTAGGACTGCCACAAGTACTTGTGACAGTTTGTGAATGTGATGTAGACATTTAGTTAGGTCTTATGTCTGAAGCCAATTCTTAACAGTGACTTCCGAAGCCCCAATCATTTTAATTGTTATTTTTTGTACGTTAGAAATCTTCATTAGAAAACAATTTCGTCTGCTTTTTATCGTGTATTGCCTTTCTTGTTCAATCGGGCGCACCTCGATTGACTAGACACACGTGATATTTTACGGGAATTTTTACTTTGATTTATCATTTTACAATACGTTAACATTTATTTTTTTATATTTTATTTACAATACGTAGAGGATACACTGGATTTATTTCTTTCAAAATATCATATAATTACTTGATGTCTCGCAACGTGAGTGGTACTACTTGATTCCCTGTTTCCGGTTTAATAGTCCCTATTCATAGAGTTATGTCCCTGTATTATATAGTACCGTATAATGAATTGTGTCTGGGTAGTTTCGAGAAGAAAATGTCACACGGAGAATTTAGTTTTGTTTATAAAATTTTATTCAACATTTTATACTCGTTGAAATTGTTGAGAAAGCTTTCTAGTCTTCAAATGTGGATTATCCTTGTGTCAATATCCAAAATGACAGGCATATTAATGATTCGCAGTTATTGCGAATCAAAAACTTTAGATTTTAATTTTTGATTAGCAACGGACAAAATATGTATCGCAAATTGCGCTGCGATACTGGTTGTCGGCAGCCCTGGTGGTATGAGCATTCAAAGTTGGTCGCCTGTATTGCCGATATGGATAAAGTTACTGGGCGTCATTTCAAAATAAATGATGATGTGTACAAGAACTTGTCCTAAAAGTATGACGCATTTGAACGTTTTTAGAGATCTTTTCTATGATTGCTTGTTTATTACCATCTCTCCCAGTTCCCATACTGAGTTGTTTTGTTTCTGATTTTGTTTCCAATTTTGTTATTTTATTTTCATAATAGAACGAATTGATATTTTACATGTGTTATTATATATTGTTTTAAACTATATGTATATATAGAATTGCAACATTAGAAAGCCCTCAAAATACATGTAGATGATAAAATCTATTAAATATGGTATACTTGATATCTAAAACGATCCTGATCAAAATTAAGCTATTAGAATATTGAGCGTCATGACAACCCAGTCTACATTTTCTACCCCTAGTTAAACTTTGTCAATAGACTCAGTATTGAAGTCTAATAAAAATAGCGAACGAATGTCATGTGTTTGAACGTTGTTTTAAGGATTTTAAGTGCATTTAAACATTATGTATCTAAATGAATTGGGTATATTCTCATTAAACATTATTCTACAATATTTGTAATGTTTTTATCGACCATTTCCAAGTAATATCAAGTTTCAAAGACTGCAACACCTTAAAGGTGTCAACTTTGCGATTCCTGTCATTTTCGCGCCAGCCGTTTCAACTTCGCAACATGTGCATTAATCTCTGTCACCTGTTTCTCTCTGTCATGCTTAACTTGTTTATGGATGTAAACAGTAACCCAGAGGTCCACGATTATCGCCATGCAAACGATAATAGTTATCCCTTAGTTTGTGACCCTTGAGCAGGATTGAAAGAGTTTGTTGTTGGACGATCTCATCAGAATAAAGAATCAAACGTGTATAATAGTCGATCCTGAAGGCAGATAACGATATAATCGTTATTACTGGTATTGGCAGGACTAGATTAACATTCTTATGCAAAATACGTTTGATTTTTAAAATAAATTTAGATACCTGTGATGCCATTATGTGAAAACATTAGGCTAAAAATAAATTTTGATTACGGCCGACCACATATTTGAATAGAACATATATTAATGAAAAGAATTAACAAGAAATTCAATGTTGCCAGTTTAATTTTATTTCAAGAATTCATATATCAAAGTTACACCATTATTGTAGAATGACCCTGTTGAGACATAGCTGCTCGATGGGCATATTTCAACGCTATGCATAGCTTTCCTGTACCTAATTATTGATTTACTCAATCTATTTTAGTGTACAAGTATAAGAAAGAATCAGATGCCAGTCTTGGTGATAAAATCTCTAAGATTAATATTCATACTTTAAAAAAGAAATCGGGTAGAATAAGAGGCAGATTATCTAATACAATGGGCATTAGTTTACAGGTAAATTATCTTACTTACAAATACTAATTGATTATCTGTAAATAATGAATGCATTAACTCATCATATGTCCACATGTAGTTGGTGAATGTCGTCACTGCTCGTCCGTCTGTCAACAATTTCTTGTTAATGAGATAGAGGATAGAGTTTTTGACATATAAGTTCAAATTTGGTGTGATGATGGCCAACCTTTAAAGGATGACCTCTATTGATGTTCCAGAATTATTCCTCCTGTCATTCCGGCAACAAAATTTAATGTGAAGACGAAAGAGGCTAGTGTGTTCGACCGATTTCTTTTTCAAATTTAGTATGATGATTGCTAAACGATAAATGATCCAAATCGATTTTCAGCATTCTACGACAGTATGTTCCAGAGTTATTGACCCAGTCATTCTGACAAAATTTCTTGTGAACACGAAAGAGGCTAGAGTTTTTTTTTACGCCCACATTTTCATGTGACCGTGTTATGCTGTAGCCCCTGTCTGTCTGTCCGTCCGTCTGTGGACAGTATACATGTCACAATTTTCATCCAATTTTGACGAAACTTAAAATATAGGTCTATCTCCCAAAGATCTCGGTTCCTTTCCATACTGGCATGTATCAGACCATAACTTCATGGATTATGGCCCAGGATTGTACGGAAAATCACGTTTTTAGCTTGTGGACACTCTAGAGGTCACAGTGGCCCTTGTTTCACTTTGTTGCACCTTGTGATCGCTCCAACGACAAAAGTTGTCAACTAATCTGTATGAAATTTATATGTATTATTTGAATTAGTAAAACAAAGAAGCCTATTGAATTTCAGCAATTTCTGTTAATTACAATTAGAGTTATGGCCCTTGTTTCACTTTGTTGAATCTTGTGAACGTTTTAATGACAACAGTTATCATCCGATCTGTTTGAAATTGAAATGCATCATTTAAATTAGTGAACCGAAGAAGCCTATTGAATTTCAGAAACTTCTGTCAATTACTTCTAGAGTTATGGCCCTTGTTTTACTTTGTTGAACCTTGTGAATGTTCAAACGACAAAAGTTATCATCCGATCTGTATGAAATTGATATGCATTATTTGAATTAGTAAAAAACGAAAAAGCCTGTTGAATTTCAACAATTTCTGTACATTACTTCCAGAGTTACAGCCCTTGTTCTAGTTTTTAGAACTGAGTTATGGCTCTTGTTTCACTTTGTTGTCTCCTGCCTTTCGAAGAAGGAGGGTTATGGTGTCCCAAAAAGTGGGACGGACGGACTTTTTGGGACACAATAACCCTCCTTCTAATTGAGCTAGAATGTTCAAACTTGGTGTAAGTGTTTATTAGGTCAATGCCTTGATGGAGTGTGAAGATAAGCAATTTCTGCTTAGGGTAAGCAAAGATAAGCAATTTGATTGGTTGATGCTTTGGGACACGATAACTTTAGTTCCAATTAAGTGAGAGTGATGAAACTTGGTGACTAAGTTCGATGATGAGAATTTTCTGCTTAGGCTAACGAGCAATAAGCATTTTGATTGGTCAAGACTTTGGAACATAACAACTCTTCTTCTAATTGAGGTAGAATGTTTAAACTTGATGTAGATGTTCGTCTTGACTGAGTTCAATGATTAACATATCGAGCTAAAGCTAAGCAGAGATTAGCAATTTCCTGCTTTGGTACAAGATAACTTTGATTCTATCTGATAGAGAGTGATGAAACTTAGTGTATAGTTCATAATCAGTTTGATTGCTTGATACTTTGGAAAAAAATAGATGTGCGATTAATTAATATGTGTCATCTATTTATTTGGAGATTTCGGCGGGGGACATCAGCCTCACTGTTGGCTTGTTGTACCTTGTGAATGCTCTAACGACAAAAGTTATTATCCGATCTGTATGAAATTTATATGCATCATTTAGATTAGTAAAACAAAGAAGCTTATTGAATTTCAGCAATTTCTGTTAATTACATCTAGAGTTATGGCCCTCGTTTCACTTTGTTGAAACTTGTGAACGCTCTAATGACAAGAGTTATCATCCGATCTGTTGCAACGAAGATGCATATTGAATTTCAGCAATGTCCGTTAATTACACCATAATTATGGCCCTTGTTTCACATTGGTGTACCTTGTGAATGCTTTAACGACAAAAGTTATTATCCGATCTGTATGAAATTGATATGTATCGTTTAAATTAGTAAAACGAACAAGACTATTGAGTTTCAGCAAATTTCCGTTCATTACATCTAGAGTTATGGCCCTTGTTTCACATTGTTGAATCTTGTGAACGCTTGAACAACAAAAGTTATCACCCAATCAGTCTGTATGAAATTCATATGCATCATTTAAATTAGTGAAATGAAGAAGCCTATTGAATGTCAGCAATTTCTGTCAATTACTTGTAGAGTTACGGCCCTTGATTTACTTTGTTGCACCTTGTGAACGTTTGAACGACAAAAGTTATCCAATCTGTTTGAAATTGATATGCATTTTTTGAATTAGTAAAACGAAAAAGCCTGTCAAATTCAACAAATTCTGTCAATTACTTCCAGAGTTATGGCCCTTGTTTTAGTTTTTATACGACCACATTGAAATGTGGTCGTATATTGTCGTTGCCCCCGTCTGTCCTTCTGGCATCCACAATTGCTTGTGGACGCTCTAGAGGCTAAAGTTAATATCTGATTGACTTTAAATGTATATACAGTGTTTAAGGCAATGAGACGAAGAAGCCTATTGATTTTCAGCGATTTCCGATAATTACTGCCAGAGTTATGGCCCTTGATCACTTCAAAAAATCTTGTGGACGCTCTAGAGGCTAAAGTTTATCCGATTGACTTTAAATTTATACATAGTGTTTAAGGTCATGAGATGAGGAATCCTATTGATTTTCAGCGATTTCTGATAATTACTGCCAGAGTTATGGACCTTGATCACTTCAAAAAATCTTGTGGACGCTCTAGAGGCCAAAGCTAATATCCGATTGACTTTAAATTTATACACAGTGTTTAAGGTCATGAGACGAAGAAGTCTATTCATTTTCAGTGATTTTCGGCCCTTGATCACTTCAAAAAATCTTGTGGACGCTCTAGAGGCCAAAGTTAATATCCAATTGACTTTAAATTTATACACAGTGGTTAAAGTCATGAGACGAAAAATCCTATTTATTTTCCAGCAATGTACGATAATTACTGCCAGAGTTATAGCCCTTGATCACTTTGAAAAATCTTGTGGATGCTCTAGAGGATAGAGTTAATATCCAATTCACTTTAAATTTATACACAGTGTTTAATGTCATGAGACAAAGAAGCCTATTGATTTTCATCGATTTCAAATAATTACTGCCAGAGTTATGGCCCTTGATCACTTCAAAAATCTTGTGGATGCTCTAGAGGCTAAAGTTAATATCTGATTGACTTTAAATTTATACTCAGTGTTTGAGGTCATGAGACGAAGAATCCTATTGATTTTCAAAGATTTCCGATAATTACTGCCAAAGTTATGGCCCTTGATCACTTGTGACGCTCTAGAGGCTAAAGTTATCATCCGATTGACTTCAGATTGATACACAGAGTTTAAGATCTTGATACGAACAAGTAAATTTTTATGACTTGAACAGCTAAATCCATGATATTAAAAGTTTTGTTTTAAAACCAAATAAATTCTAATGGTTTTCTGATAATTACTTCATGAGTTGTTACTCTTAATCAGATTTTAGTGTTTTATAAATGTTTCATTCCCGAAAACAGTAAAAATATGCGACAACACTTGTTGACTGCCCGGACGATTTAGCTGCTTTTGTTGCCAGGCAACCTATCTTAACAACCTTTTGAACCCTCAAACGACATAAATTATAATGTCATCTGTATGAAATTGTCTATTAAATGCCCCCTTATTACCTACAAAAGAATAAATATACGACAACTCTTGTCGACCGCTCGGACGATTTTACTGCTGTGGGTGTATGTTTTGTTGCCTGGCAACCTATCTTTAATAATTTTGGTAGGAATTGTGCTAAGTAATTATTTAGAATAAAGTTGACTTCTCATCAACACAGAAGCAATCAATATTATTACCAGATAGATAATTAAGAAACCCATTAACTTACAGACAAAAGATGAACAGTTTGAAAGAGAAGAAATGAAGTTTCATTGTTTAGAGAAAGCTGTTAAAGTATTTGTTAAAGATGTACAGACCTATATAGATAATGTACAGGTAATTGTTTCTTTTTTAAATGCCTAGCTGAACACATCCTTGGCACATCCCTGGTAGTATTGTTCGTTCTACTCCACTAAAGGCTGAGTCAGACTAGTGGATTTATCCTGAGGTTTTATATCCATAGGCTGAATCCTTTCATGTGAACGGGAAAATTTGTCCTATAGGTTACAGATTTTCTTACCTACGGATAAATCCTTAGGTTTAGAACAAGTCCTATTCTCGTAGGATTTGTCCTGTGAATTGACCAATCAAATGCAAACGCGCACTTCCTCAAAATGTCAGACGTCGAACTCAACCGGGCCAAAACAGAGAATTTTATTTTTTATTTCAACCGCCAAAGCGTGCTGTGGTCTATTCAATCCGAAGATTACCATAAACACGAGAAAAAACAGGCAGCACTGAGAGCCATTGCACAGGAGATGGGGAAAAATTGGACAGGTAAGTTGTTTTATTAATGGACAATAGCGGGAATACGAATCAGCCTCAACGAGTCAATGTCACGACAGTCGCTAGGCTACCGCGGATTGGCGAGGCCTAGAATCTTTAATTGTTGAAGTAGATATTATTTTTAGCTAATGTAGGTAGCAATACTATTATCATATATATCTCCAATTCCATGACCCAATATGTTATAACATAACTTTATGTAACTATTTTTTGATCCATAATTTCTTATGCCTGTCAGTGTCATTCCTAGCGGAAATGACAAGTTCTGTAAACAAAGAAATTGGGCAGTCAGAAAGATTAAGAAACGCCTACAGCAAGACAAGGCAACTGTGGATATTTCTGCAACTGGGTTCACACTGATTATTTATATAGATAAGTAGAATACTTATTGAAGTCATTTGGTGCAGATTTTGGATACAGTCAGTCAGTGATTAGGCTAATTATCCTGGTCTAAATTTTCGCGATCTACCAAATGGCAACCTGTACTAGTAGGCCTACGTGCAACTAGTGTGTAAAATCATTAATGCAAATGTTTGTTTGCTTTTGTTTATGTCGATTCGGGTTCAAAGACCCTCAAAACGATTTTTTAATTTAAAAAAAGAATCCCATTATTTTCTCGAATATTAGATTTATATTTTATAGGGCCTAGCTCAATCTAAATATTTCTTAAATTAAATAATATTTATTGACTATTCATAAATTTAGTTCTAGTATTAATTTACATACAATGCCTGGGCATTTAGCATACTCTTAAATAAAAAGTTATTTTTCATAAAAAGTTATTTTTACAATTTTATATTTCATTTCAGAACAACAAGTTAATAAGAAAATTGGGCTACTCAGATCTTATTATAATAAAGAGTTGGTCAAGGTGAAGAAGGTTGTCAGTGGTCAATCTACTTCCAGTGTTTACAAGAGTACATGGCGGTACTTTGACCTTTTGGTAGGGTGACCCACCATAAATAAATATCTCCATATATCTCCATATATCTCGACAATTACGCCACAATATTTATATATATGCCAAGCCTCAAATCAGTTTCACACAATTATAGTCACTAAATAAACGATCATGTTGTACTTAATAAGCTATGACCATTAATCATCTATAAATAATAGACTGAAAACTGGTTCCAAGTGTCGTCCATAACATCCAGACACTTTTGAGTAAAAGATAGGTTACGTGCCCTTGTTTTGAAATTAGTCTCGCTTAACCAGTCTATTGACCATTCTACGTCTGATTGACAGGTCGGGATAATCAAGACTACTTTTTTACGAAACATAACAGAAAGCTAGAACAAGAAATTGAATTTATAAATAAGCACGTTAGGTAGCTCAACAATCGTTTTAAGAACCTTGTAAAAGTAAAATGAAACTACTGCTAGTATCATGTTCCTGTCTAACCCGAGTGATTCAGAGATATTATTTGTACTAAACCAAAAGATGCCGCTCTTAAAGGTACAGTTAATGATGAAGCGATTTAAAAAAATGAAACGAACGTAATTTCTAAATCTGCTGTAATAACCAAGAAGCTTAATTTCACTGCTATTCAAAATCGTCAACAATAATTTTTTTACGGCTGTAATAGTTGATAGATTTGTAGACAATTGCACGTGCCATGGCTATTTATAGTATCATACCGTCAGAAAGTTGGTCTCGGCACGGCGAATGTGTACGCTTCAGTGGTAGTCTCGAACTATCAGCGGTGGACTTTATTTCTGTAGAGTACATGGGCCACCCTACTTTTGGATGTTTTTTTGAGGGATAACACAATCCCAAGAAAACAATTTAGGCCTAGTAGTTGTAAGTGATATAGAATCATTTGTATAAATTTTTAAACTTAAGACCTTTGGATACTGTTTGAATTATTGTAACTCAAATTTTCTTTGTTCTGGAATATGTGAACTAACTAACAATAGGACATTTTACATTTATTAGTCTCAAAATGACCTAGTATAAAAATTGTTGGTTGCAATCTACGGTCTCATGTTTGAAGATATATTGAGCATGAGTAATTGTGCAATGCAGGCCTATCACCATTTAATGTCAAAACAATTATTTTATACTGTAGTACGTACAGATTTCTACATGTGAAAATAAACAATTTCAACATGTCAGACCAGAAAAGGCTTTTCCTCATCCTATTGATTTGTTTAGGTGTGGTTATCTATCATGAATTGAAATAGTTGTCTTAATTGTATGGTTGATGGGGTTGTCTCCCATTATTATGGTAATTTATTTGACATTTGTATGGTGGCCTTATTACAAACTCGAGAGTAGTTATTTAGTGCTGCAACAACCAAGTCTCATTGGTAAATCATAACAATAAAATTAAATGTGTTTTTTTTAAAATATATTTTCAGGATTCAACTGAAGCGGATTGTGATGTTGCCATTTCTCTTCCTCCAGAAGGAGATATTTTACAGCTTCACTCTCAGTGCTCTCAGCACCAATTAGCTGAAGTCACTCCTGAAAAGGACAGTGAAATCTCAACATCACTGTGTTCCAAAAAAAGAAATACAGATGACCTGACAGCATCTGCTGTTATGTTTTTAAAGACATTGGCAGAGAAAAAAAGAGAACAAACATGAAAACTCAGCTTTTAGCAGTTATATTTGTGAGAAGTTGACACTTATTACAAATCCAAGAAAACGTGCAAAACTGGAATTAGACATCCATACGCTGATAAACACTGCTTTAATAAACCAATATGAAAATGAAGAACTGATCAATTTTTAGGTCAAATACATGTTCATTGTAATTTGAACAACTGATGATGAACAACTGACCAATTTAAGGACCCCTTGCATTGTATTTATTTATAAATTACTTATAAATTATTTATTTATGTACATATGCAATTAAATTTATTCGATTACTATAACTTTGGTTGTAAGTGTACAAACTTTTATGCCATAGGCCATTGCCCTGCTCAATCTATAATTGAAAATTCTTTTTTCAATAATAAGTCCCCTCATGGGAAAAGGTTTCATTGGATTGGTTTTCAGAGCAAAAGCATCATCTCCAACAATAACACATGGTACTGGTGTTTCTCTACCTGGTAGAACTTTGAGAGGAGGGAGGTTGAAAGTGTTCTCTTCTAAAGCTGATGAAATGGGTGAGTTTGCAGTAAACCTGCATCCCCTACCCTGCCATTAGCCCCAATATCAACATAAATAAATTTGTAATCCGCGTCAACTAAAGCAAGCAATATAATGCTGCAGAAGCCTTTGTAATTATAAAAGGTAGCACCACTGTGAAATGGCTTTCTAAGAGCGATATGTTTGCCATCCAGTGCTCCGATGCAGTTTGAGAAATTCCATCTGCTGTTGAAGCCATGTATGACAGTCTCCTATTCATCTGGTTTGTTGGGGACCTGAAAAAATTAAATTGAAACTCGATTAAAGGAATTATTTTAAGTATGCTTGGCATCGTGTAAAAAATCGTCTGGCCTTAAAAGAAAATGAATTGTACTCAGGAGGGGTCTTGTAAATCACTTACCTTTAAATATTCTTCTCTCAGTACATCGTAAATAGATTTACAGGTTTCTGGAACAATTAAGCTCACTGTGTTTCTTGGAATTCTATATAGATATTCAAGAGACTGGTAACTGTCACCTGGAAAGAATGTAAAAGAATATTACATCTCAATCCATGACTTCTAGTGAATAACCCAGGGGGCAACTGTAAAAAAAAATGCAAACAGCAACTGGGGGGTGGGGTGGGTCTGTCAGCCGAAAAAAGTGCATGAAAAAGTGCATCTCCGCATAAGAAAATTGGGTGGTCTAACTGAGTTCTGCAAGAAAAAAAGCATTTCCGGGTAAGAAAATTGGGTGATCTAAAAGAGTTCTGCAAGAAAAAAAGCATTTCCGGGTAAGAAAATTGGGTGGTCTAACAGAGTTCTGAAAGAAAGAAAAGCATTTCTGGGTAAGAAAATTGGGTGGTCTAATGGGTCCCTGTAAGAAAATTGTATCAAACGGGATACAAAGTGTTTCAGTTCATATCAATAACAACTCCATCAAAATAGAATCGTATGACCGTTTTTACCGAGGTGTGTCGAATTAGTGGTCGAATCCAAGCGAAGATAAATTCAATTTTAAAATGCTGGTAAATAAATTATGAAAGAAAATGCTATTCGAATATTTCAAATAAAATATTTTTAACGTCAGAAGATTTTTAAAAAGATTAGATTAGCCTTAGTGTGGCCATTTTGACCGGTAGTGCCAGTCGTGAATGAATTAGTTACGGCCTGTTAACCGAGACTACACAGGGATAACTCTTGGCAACAACCGGCGACAATGATGGCTACACTTTCGAAGTTTTGATAACCTTAACATGGGTGAGTTTTTAGCCTTTATTATTTTATTTGCAGACCGTCAACACAATTTTATTGCTAGTTCTTGTTCAGAGAAGAGCAGTTCTTGCATACACCCCTCAGAATACCCTATAAAACTATGTGATGCCTAGGATTCAAGTGGTTGCTATGTATATCGTTCTGACGTGTTGTCAGTCATTGTCATTGTCAATTTTAGCATAATTTCCCGTTATCCTAGGCCCAAATCAGCTGCTATTTCACCTCCCCTAGTGACTATATTTTTAAACAATTTCTTGAGACTAATGACTCATTAATTTTAATGAGATTTTAATTTTCATGTTGATGATTCCAACGACTCTACCGCGGTTGATTTTTGTGATATGCTGAATAATAGATCTCTCACACAACATGTTTCTTCTTCTACTCATAACGGTGGACATATTCTCGATCTGGTGATAACTAATCCACGTGATATTAAACTGGATAATCTCTCTGTCTCGGACAAATTAATATCTGATCATTTCCCGGCAACTTTTAATCTTATGATCCAGAAACCACAACCAACAAGAAAGACTTTAACATATCGAAGGTTTAAATCATTTGACATAAATAAATTTAAAGCTGAAATAGTGAACTCGAATTTCAATGGCATTCAACATATTCAAGATATACAAGAGAAGGCAACCCAATATCACTCAAAGCTTGCTGAAATTTTGGACTCGCTTGTTCCTCTTCAAACGAAAACATTTACTATTCGTCCCAATACGCAGTGGTTTAATGATTCTATTTTAGAAGCCAAAAGGGACCGTAATAAGGCTGAACATCTGTGGCGGAAAACAAATCTACATGTCCATAAACAGATTTATAAATCTTTAAAAAACAATGTGAATAAATTAATCGAAGATGCTAAAATTAAATTTTACTCTGATAAAATAGAAAATGGCGAAAACAGACAAAAAGACCTGTATAAAGTTGTGAATTCCCTTTTGGACCATAATGCTGAGCGTACTATCCTCCCGGACAATGATAATGACACTGAACTTGCAAATTTATTCTCTGATTTCTTTCAAATAAAAATACAGAAAATACGAACTGAACTTGATGATTTAAATAAAACTATTGACTTTAACGCTCATGATTTTGATAAGTTAGAAAATTCTGTTTATTTAGAAAATTTTAACTTGGTTAGTGAATCTTTTGTTTTAAAGCTAATTAAATCGTCTGCTCCTAAATCTTGTTCATTAGATCCTGTTCCGACTTCTGTTCTTAAAGACTGTCAAGACGAAGTTATTCCAGTTTTTACCAATATTATTAATTCTTGTATATCATCCGCAACTATTCCCAACGTTTTCAAACGAGCTTATGTTACCCCTTTAATTAAAAAGTCTACACTGGATCCTAATGTTTTTAAAAATTACGGGCCAGTTGTTGTACATCTCTATATTCTTTTAAAAAACAACTTAAAACACATTTATTTAATCAGGCTTTTAACTGACTCTGTATACAATCGTTAACATGCCCATAATCTTGTTGTTTATGTGTGATTTACATTGTCACTTTGTAAAGTGCCCCTGAACATGTTATATGAAAGGGTGCACTATAAATATGCTGTAATAATAATAATAAAAATAATAATCATGTTATTCAGAATTTGGGCAATCTTTGATTTAAATTGTCCACTTTAAAGTAAACACTGCAGAGACTCCCAGAGTGCAAAAAAAACAAAACAAAATTTTCAACACTGCTTAGTTACGAATAATTTATGATGCCTGTTTATGACTGATTTTCTTCTGTTTTATATATTTCAGAGATGTGTTTGGATGAAGTTTGAAAATAGTGTGATGGTCATTTGAGCAGAATTTCTTGAAGATATTTGTCAATAAAGATTTGGGTTGAGGAAGATGGCTGAGCACAAAATGAAAAAAAAGTACACTGTAATATTTATTATATACGCAGTTATTCGCCTTGCTAAAACAGAGGAGTTATATATTGTCCAATCGACAGTGTCTAATTCACCAACCAAAACGCAAGATTCACAGGCATGTTGTTATGCTGTGTCGATACTGTTTTTTTCCCTGTCTCGGAGGTGGTGTTTGGTAACTATGTTTTTAGGACAATTGTGATACTTAAGTGAATGGTGAACTTTGTGTCGTAAGGTGACGACTGTGATTAACTTTATAGTGAACTTTAAAGTGAACTTTAATGTCGTGAAAACCCATGCTTTCTAACATGGCGGATCTCCATAGACATCGTGAACTCTGTGAACCGTGAACTCTGTGAACCATGAACTCTGTGAACTGTGAATTCCGTGACTCGTGAACTCTAATTATTGAATTAGAACTGTCAACAAAGAAAGCTGTTAACTTGTTTGTTTGTACTGTAACTCCTGTTTCTTGTATATGTTTATTTACATAAATATTCATTAATATTTCAAAGCCTTATAATTTCATTCAAGTGTTATCCCGTGATTTGATCGACTGTTGTCCTGTCAATTTGGTTTGCCAGCCCACTCCAAATAAACACGTCGTGTGGAGAGGGTTAACATCTTTTTTACCTTCAACACCGCAGCATGCCGAGATGAGATTTGGGTAATCTTTTACTTCTTCACACTCTGGTCAAAATTGGTCAACCTGTGATCAGTAGATTTGAGTGGATATGGGAAAGCACAATAAATGAATAGGTACAAACCTAAGTTCATATATTTTAGCCTGTCTCTGCATATGGGCAGTCTTAGACTATCTTTGCTAATAATTCAGACTCAGAATTTTGTCGAACATCAACTCAATATAAATACTGTATTTATAACATATCGTCTTGTCATTTGTTCTATTGCTCAGCCTTTAGTAGTTAGGTATTGCACATACTTTTGGGTGGTCTTAAATGAGATATTTCAAGAAACACATTTTCTTGCACAAGATTTTAGGGTGGTCTAATAGGCAACTGTGAGGAACACATTTTCTTGCGCATGATTTTTGGGTGGTCAATTAAGCAACTGTGAAGAACACATTTTATTGCGCAAGATTTTAGGGTGGTCTTTCTAAAAAATGATGGTGCATATTTTTTTACGCAAGATTTTAATGGGTGGGTGGTCTACCCAGGTCCAGTGCATATTTTTCGACTTGACGTATGATGTTTTTTTTACTACTGCCCCCCGAATAACCTAGGCTCACTAATCTTAAAATGTAATTATCTCCCTTTAATAACATAGGCTGATTAATCTTAAAGTGTAGTTATCTCCCTTTAATTTAATTTTTATTCAAAGCCTTAACTTTAAATTAGATTTGATTTTGATCACAATAACAATTCAGCTATTAGTTAATAGTATCACTCATGTTTGTTATTGTTATATATTTATTTCATTAATTAAAGAAATACCTGTTGCTAAAAAATGCAGAGTAAGAGCCAACCTCTCTCCTGATGGTATGGGCCTACTTTCACGCATTTGTGTATCCTTTCTTGTAATATAGGGCTTTACTTTATCTAGTAATTCCTCAAACGTTTTCCAGTCCATCCGAAGAAAATTTTTAAGGGCTCTTTGATCTTGTGACTTTAATTCCTCCATAATAATAAGCCCCAAACTGATGTTTTAGGCTAATCCATGGTCTGACCCGACAAGATCTTTCTTGTTTTTTTTTTTATAAATATGATCAAAATATTGTCGATGAATTGATTTTGAACGGATACAATCGAGTTTTAAACCCTCCAAAAATAAAAATAAACTCCGCCTGTTGCCATGCTGTTCACACAACTCCTTTGCTGATTGGCCCAGACACCGCGTGCCAGACATTATCGATAAATCTT